GGGACATGATGGGGACGGGGACATGGGGGCACTATGGGGACAGAGGGATGTGGGGACACTGTGGGGACACTATGGCGATGTGGGGGCACCATGGGGGCACTATGGGGACAGGGAGACATGGGGGCACTGTGGGGACATGATGGGGACAGGGGAACATGGGGGCACCGTGGGGACACCATGGGGATGTGGGGACACCATGGGGACAGTGTGGGGATGTGAGGACACTATGGGGACAGAGGGATGTGGGGACATTATGGCGATGTGGGGGCACCATGGGTACACTATGGGGATGTGGGGACACTGGAGGCAGAGGGACACGGGGGCACCATGGGGACACTATGGGGATGTGGGGGCACTATGGGGACATGATGGGGACAGGGGGACGTGGGGGCACTGTGGGGACACCATGGGGATGTGGGGGCACTGTGGGGACAGGGGGATGGGGGGACACTATGGGGACGTGAGGACACTGGAGACAGAGGGACATGGGGGCACCATGGGGGACACCATGGGGAAGTGGGGGCACCATGGGGGACACCATGGGGAAGTGGGGGCACTATGGGGGACACCATGGGGAAGGGGGGACACTATGGGGACGTGAGGACACTGTGGAGACAGAGGGACATGGGGGCACCATGGGGACACTATGGCGATGTGGGGGCACCATGGGGACATGATGGGGACAGGGACATAGGGGCACCATGGGGACACTATGGGAACACCATGGGGATGTGGGGACACCATGGGGACACTATGGGGATGTGAGGACACTATGGGGACAGAGGGACGTGGGGACACTGTGGCGATGTGGGGGCACCATGGGGACATGATGGGGACAGGGGGACATGGGCGTACCATGGGGACACAGGGACGTGAGGACACTATGGGGACATGGGGGCTCTGTGGGGACAGAGGGACATGGGGACACTATGGGGATGTGGGGACACCATGGGGACAGGGGAATGAGGGGACACTATGGGGATGTGAGAACACTATGGGGACAGGGGGACGTGGGGGCTCCATGGGGACACAGGGACGTGGAGATACTTGTGGGGATGTGGGTACACCATGGGGATATAGGGACGTGAGGACACTATGGGGACAGAGGGATATGGGGGCGCCATGGGGACACTATGGGGACATGGGGACACTATGGGGACATGGGGATGTGGGGACACTATGGGGACAGGGAGATGTGGGGGTGCTCTGGGAACAGAGGGACGTGGGGACACTGGGAATGTGGGTACACCATGGGGATATAGGGATGTGGGGACACTATGGGGACAGAGGGATATGGGGGCACCATGGGGATGTGGGGACACTATGGGGACATCATGGGGACACTATGGGGATGTGGGGACACTATCGGGATATGGGGACACCATGGGGACAGGGAGATGTGGGGGCGCTCTGGGAACAGAGGGACGTGAGGACACTATGGGAATGTGGGTACACCATGGGGATATAGGGACGTGGGGACACTATGGGGACAGAGGGATATGGGGGCACTATGGGGACAGGGAGATGTGGGGGGGCAGGGGGATGTGGGGACACTATGGGGATGTGGGGGCACCATGGGGACACAGGAACGTGGGGACAATATGGGGATGTGAGGACACTATGGGGACAGAGGGATATGGGGCACCATAGGGACACTATGGGGATACAGGAACTCTATGGGGACAGAGTGATGTGGGGACACTATGGTGACATGGGGACACTATGGGAACACAGGGATGTGGAGGCACTATGGGGACACAATGGGGACACAGGGACGTGGGGGCACCGTGCGGACAGGGGGATGTGGGGACACCATGGGGACACAGGGACACTATGGGGACACAGGGACATGGGGGCACTGTGCAGACAGGGGGATGTGGGGGCACTATGGGGATATGGGGACACGATGGGGAAAGGGATTTTGGGGCACCATGGGGACACAGGGACACTATGGGGACAGAGGGATATAGGATCACTATGGTGATACGGGGACACTATGGGGTCACAGGGACGTGGGGACACTGTGGGGACAGGGGAATGTGGTGACACTATGGGGATGTGGGGGCACCATGGGGAGACTATGGAGATGTGGGGACACCATGTGGACAGAGGGACGTGGGGGCACCATGGGAACATGGGCTCACCATGGGGATGCTATGGGGATGTGGGGACACCATGAAGATGTGGGAATACCATGGGGACATGATGGGGACCCAGGGATGTTGGGGACACCATGGGGACACAGGGCCATGGGGACACCATGGAGACATGGATATGGAGGCACTATGGGGACACAGGGACATGGGGACACCATGGGAATGTGGGAGCACCATGGGAACACTGTGGGGATGCCATGGGGACCCAGGGATGTTGGGGACACTATAGGGACACAAGGATTTGGGGACACAGGTCTGGGAACAAGAGAACACTGTAGAGACACTATAGGGACACAGGGATGTGGGCACACCATGGGGACACCGATTTGGGGACATTATGGGGACACAGTGCTATGGGGACACCACAGAGATGTGGGCACACCATGGGAACACAGGAAATGCGGGGACTCTGTGGGCATGCAGGAACATGGGGATGCCATGGGAATGGGGGAGAACCATGGGAACACTATAGAGACACAGGGATATAGGGGGGCCATGGGGACGTGGGGTCACAGAGGTCTGGGGCCACTGTGGGCACATGGGAACACTGTGGGGACGCTATGGGGACATTAGGACTCTATGGGGACACTGTGGGGACACAGGGATGTGGGCACACCATGAGAACTCTGTGGGGATACAGGGGTTTGGGGACACCATGGGATCACAGGAATGTGGGGCACTATGGGGATGGAGGGACATGGGGACACTATAGGGACATGGGGATGCCATGGGGACGCATGGGAACACAGGGATGTGGGGACATCATAGGGAGACTTGGGCTCGCTATGGGGACACAGGAATATAGGGACACGGGTCTAGGGACACCATGGGGACCCTATGACCCAGCTGCCATGCAGGAACCCCATAACCCCTCTCCTTCCCCCACAGTTGTCTGACGGAGCCAACACATCCCAGTGGGACACAGACATCGCTTCTTCCCTTTGGCTTCTCCCTTTTTTTCCCCTTTGGTTTCCCCATTTTTCCCCTTTGGTTTCCCCATTTTTCCCCTTCATTTTTGTCCTCCTTCCCTTTCCAGGGAACACCAGCGTGGGAAGCACAGCAAGGCTGCAGTGCTCCCAGTGCTCCCAGCCTGTCTGACAATCCACCTCCCATCACCACAGCCCAGAGTGCTGGAAATGGGGGAAAACACCCCAAAATCCCCCCTGCTGCCAGCCCCTGGGAAGCATCGCTGGTGGTGGTTGGGCTTTTTTTTTTTTCCCTCAAATACTTTTTTTTTTTTTTTTTGTCCTCCTCCTTTTTTCCTCCCTTTTTTCCCTTTCTTCTTTTTCCCTTTTCCCCATCTTTATTTTTTCCTTTTTTTTCCCTTTCTTTTTTTCCTTTTTCCCCTCTTTTTTCCATTTTTCCATTTTCCTTCTTTTCTCCCCTTCTTTTCTCCATTTTTCCATTTTCCTTCTTTTCTCCCCTTCTTTTCTCCATTTTTCCATTTTCCTTCTTTTCTCCCCTTCTTCTTTCCTCCCCTTCTTTCCTCCCCTTCTTTCCTCCCCTTCTTTCCTCCCCTCTCCCCCCATTTCTTTTCTCCCCTCTTCCCCTTCTTTTTTTTTCCCCTTTTCCCCCATTTCCTAACCAAAACACAGAAGAGAACCCCCCAGCTTTATTTTTCTATGTGCCTACCACAACAAGTGCCGCCGAACCCTCGGCCGTTCCCAAAGCCACCGCAGCCCCTTTGGGGACAGATCTGCTTTTTTTAGTAATAACATGAACCATCATCCTAAGAAACCTCCCCAAACAGAGGCCCCAACCCCATCCTCTCCATAGTCCCCATCATAACCAACCCAACGCTATTTTTTTGGGTTTTTTTTTTTTTTTAGTCATGGTTACTCAATGTCTTCTGTATATGTTGCACTGAAGGTTAATATTTAATGTTTTAATTTATTTTGTGTGGTTTAAATTAATTTTGATTTCTATAATATGTTATTGTGATCAGCTGTTTTCCTTTTTTTTTTTTTTTTTTTTTTCTCCCCTAATACCTGGATTATAGTTATTTAAGTGATATAAAGGACACTTTTTCAGAAGGCTGTGGCTGTGCTTTGATTTGGGGTCGGCAAATATTGAGGGGTAGCAATGTGGGGTCGCTTCCATGGGAGCTGAGCAAAACGAGGTCTCCTCCATGTCCCACTCCTGTCCCCATCCCAGTCCTGTCCTCATTCTAACCCAATCCCCATCCTAGTCCAGTTCCATCCTCTTCTGGTTGTCTTCTCATCCCTTTTGGGTTCCAGTCCCCATCTCATCCCATGCTGGTCCTGCTCCAATCCCTTTCGGATCCTCATTTCATCCTGTTCCTATCCCCATTCCATCCCATCCTGTTCCCCCTCCCATCCCTTTTCAATCCCCATCCCTTCCCAGTCTGGTCCCCATCCCATCCTTTTCCTGCTCCCATCCCCTTTGGGTCATCATTTCATCTTGGTCCTCTCCCCATTCCATCCCATCCTGTTCCCCCTCCCATCCCTTTCGCATCCCCATTCCATCCTGTTCCTGCTCCCATCCCTTTTGGGTCAACATTTTGTCTTGGTCCCCATCCCATCCTGCTCCTATATCCATCCCATCCCAATCCAGTCTCCATCCCATTCTATCCTGGTCCCATTCACGTGTTTTCAGATCCCCATCCTGATCCCTGTTCTTATCCTATTGGGATCTTAATTCCATCTGTATCCCATTCCCATCTCCTTTAGGTCCTCATTTCATCCTAATCTTATCCCCATCCCACCCTCCTCCAGTATCTATCTCACCCCAATCCAGTCCCCATAGCACTCTGTGCTGCTCCTCCTCCCATCCCTTCTGGGTCCTCATTTCATCCTGGCCCTGTCCCCATCCCCTGCTGGGCTCCCTCCAATCCCATTGGCCTGAATTCCCTCCCATCCCCCACAGTTCCCATATCTTTGGAGACTTTCTGCATCTACTCCTGCACCCCATCCCTGGGCCTCACCCTCGGAGTGCAGCATTGCATCGTGTCACAGCAGTGCATGGCAGTGCAGGGTTTGCATGGCAGTGCAGCATCACAGCGTTGCATGGTGGCAGAGCTGTGGTGGTGCAACGTTGCGTTGGGGTGCAATGCTGCACAGTGTTGTTGCATCACATGGCATGCAGCATTGCACAGCTGTGCACCATCACAGCCCATTAAAGTGTTGCACAGTTGTGTGGTGTGGCATGCAGCTCTGCACACCATTGTGGTATTGCACAGCATGCAGCAATGTGCAGCATTGCTCAGTATCTGCAGTGTTGCACAACCCCATAGCATGGCATTGCACAGCATGCCGCATTTTACAATGTGCAGCATTGCACACCAGCACTGCACTGCACATGTGACATTGCACAGCACTGCACACCAGCACTGCACAGCATGCAGCATTGCACACCAGCACTGCATTGCACACCAGCGCAGCATTGCACAGCATTGCATAGCACACACCACTGCACAGCATGCGATACTGCACGCCGGGATAGCATTGCACTGCATGCAGCATTGCACACCAGCATTTCACTGCAAAATATGCACCACTGCACACCAGCACTGCACAGCATGCAGCACTGCATTCCAGCACAGCATTGCACAGCATGCAGCACTGTGCACCAGCACAGCATTACACAACATGCAGCATTGCATACCAGCACAGCATTGCACTGCAGGCAGTACTGCACAGCACACACCATTGCACACCAGCATAGCACTGTATAGCATGCAGCATTGTATACCAGCATACAGCATTGCACTGCACGCAGCATTGCACACCAGCACAGCATGCACCATTGCACACCTGCACTGCACAGCATGCAGCATCGCACACCAGCATTTCACTCCACAATATGCAACACTGCACATCAGCACAGCACTGCACAGCATGCAGCACTGCATAACAGCACGGCACATCATTAAAACTGCACACCAGCACAGCACTGCATTGCAGGCAGCACTGCACAGCACACACCATTGCACACCAGCACAGCATTGCACCGCATGCAGCACTGCACAGCGCTGCACTCCAAAATATGCAACACTGCACACCAGCACAGCACTGCACAGCACACAGCATTGCACACCAGCACAGCACTGCACAACATGCACCACTGCACACCGGCACTGCACTGTACAGCACACAGCATTGCACACCAGCACACAGCATTACAATCATGCAACACTGCACACCAGCACAGCATTGCATTGCAGGCAGCACTCCACAGCACACACCATTGCACACCAGCAGAGCATTGCACAGCACTGCACAGTGTGCAGCACTGCACACCAGCACACAGCATTGCACAGCATGCAGCACTGCACAGCGTTGCACTCCAAAATATGCAACATTGCACACCAGCACAGCACTGCACAGCATGCACCACTGCACGCCGACACTGCACTGCACAGCATGCAGCATTGCATACCAGCACGCAGCATTGTGATCATGCAATACTGCACACTAGTACAGCATTGCTCATCATGCAGCACTGCACACCAGCACAGCATTGCATTGCAGGCAGCACTGCACAGCACACACCATTGCACACCAGCACAGCATTGCACAGCACTGCACAGCGTGCAGCATTGCATACCAGCACACAGCATTGCACAGCACGCAGCATTGCACACCAGCATTTCATTCCACAATATGCAACACTGCACATCAGCACTGCACATCGTGCAGCATTGCACACCAGCACAGCATTGCACAGCATGCAGCATTGCATACCAGCACACAGCACAGCACATCATGCAAAACTGCACACCAGCACAGCAATGCATTGCAGGCAGCGCTGCACAGCACACACCATTGCACACCAGCACAGCACTGCACAGCGTGCAGCACTGCACACCAGCACAGCACTGCACACCAGCACACAGCACTGCACAGCACACAGCATTGCACATCAGCACAGCATTGCATTGCATGCAGCATTGCACACCAGAACTGCACTGCACAGCACACAGCATTGCACACCAGCACCGCACTGCACAGCACGCAGCACTGCACACCAGCACAGCATTGCACAGCACGCAGCATTGCACACCAGCACCGCACTGCACAGCACGCAGCACTGCACACCAGCACAGCATTGCACAGCACG